TATATATATATATATATATATATATATATATACAATTTGAAAAAGGGAAAATGTCCAACAGAGAAGCTCACAAGCCAATCTGATGGGGGTAATTCTTCCACTGAGGGTCCCTCTTCTTGGGTGATTCTGGTTCTGTCAAGTTGGTGCAAACTAAGCAGCATACCATCACCAATCTCTGGAACAAACCTGCTAATCCCCATAAATGGTCTTCTTGATATTTCCTGTTTGCAAGGATTTTGTTCAGGTTTTTGTTGTTTTGTTTGGTTTTTTGTTTTGTTTTGTTTTTATTTGCATCTGCGTTCACCTATGTAAAGAGAGATTCGTCCATAATTTTCTTTTTTGTATCTGTTTTCTGTCTTGATCTCATTTTGGTATCAAGATAATGCTAGCGCTGAGTAAAAGCTTGGTAGAGTTCCTTCCTGTTTTTATTTACATAATAGTTTGAGGAACATTGGTGTTCCAGTTCTTTGAGGGTCTGGAAGAACTCAGCAGTGATTCAATCAGAACAATTTTCCGGCACCTATTCAGTATTTAGTATACATCTTTCTGTATCAACTGTGTTTGTTGCACACCTGGGTCCATTATTTGCTGCTACAAATGTGGCTACAGAGAGCATCCAACTCACTGTCCTTTCATGGACTTGTGTGAGACATCACTGGGATATGTCCTAGAGTGAATCTTCTGGAACCCATGACACATGCTGACTGAGGATAGTGCCAGAGTATGTCGTGGGTTAGCTTTATCACTTTCATGATCCCATGGGTCTCTATGACCCTACTTTCTGGCTTCTGGTAAGATTAACTTCCTGACAGGAAACTGATGGTGCTTTATGTGTATTTTTCTGATTATGAACTTACTAATTCATTTTTTCTGACTTACCGTAATTATTTGTGTGTGTGTGTGTGTGTGTGTGTGTGTGTGTGTGTGCAAGCTGTGGTGCTCAGAGTGAGGTCAGAGGTCAGCCTGCTGAAATCAGTTCTCTTCTTCCTCCATGAGCGTTCCAGCAATCACTCAACAGTCAGGCATGGCAGCAAACACCTTCAGCTACTGAGTCAACTTGCAGAAATTTTTATCTGTCCCTGTTCACGTCCTACTGATTTCTGATATTTTTTTCAGTCTTACAGTGTTATTCAATATAAGTAAGCGAGTAACTTCTACCCTACCCCACAAGTTGAAGCATTACTACCTTTTTGTTGGTCATCAATACTTTTTCTTCAACTCAAAAACAATCACAAGTCCTGGGACAACTGGATGTTCATATACAAAAGAATCACATTAGGCTTTTACTTCACAACCTTTATAAAATTTAATTCAAACTGGATCAGTGTTCTAAATATAAAGGCACAAGCCGCCATGACAGCCTTGGAGGGAAACAGGGGCAGGTCTTTGAAACCTTGAATTTGGCTGTGGGGATTCTTAGCTGAGGCACAGAGAGACTGAGTGACAAAGACAATAGGAAACGAGTAGAACTTCATTGAAAAAAGAAATCTGTGGGCATCCAAAGCGTTATGAAGAAAACAAAGACACAATCTATATAAAATTCCAGAGTCAGTAAACCTACAGACTCGGAGAGATTGATGGTTACACAGACAGAAGAAGGAAGAATAGAGAGGAAGTTCTTCATGGTGACACAGTGTGTTTGAAAGGGGATGACAATATGATAATAGAATGTCACTAACAGACGTGGATGCTTACCCATAAAGTGCTGATTTTGTTACAAGAAAAACTGCAATAAACATAAAGAGTCATAGTAGTAGATATTAACCAACCATTAATAAACCTTATGGCACTCTTGTTTAAAATTTTTCTTTATTTTTAAATTTACTTTATGTATGTCTGTGTATGAGTCTGAGTGAGGATAAATGCACTATGTGCATACAGACAGGATCTAGGAGTCTAAGTGAAGATACATACACTATATGTATACAGGATCCAGGAGTCTGTACTATATGTAGACAGGATCCAGGAGTCTGCACTATATGTATTCAGGATTCAGGAATCTGCACTATATGTATACAGGATCCAGGAGTCTGCACTATATGTGTACAGGATCCAGGAGTCTGCACTATATGTATACAGGATCCAGGAGTCTGCATTATATGTATACAGGATCCAGGAGTCTGAGTAAGAATACATACATTATATGCATACAGAAGCCAGTAGAAGCTAAAACATCTGAGCCATCTCTCCAGTCCCACATGGCATTATTACACACAGTGAAATCACTTATAACTGCCTGTAAGTGGCTATACAGCACAGTAAGGGATAATCCTGGGCCTTGGTGACCATAGCTTCTAGCTGGGAGGTTTTCTAAGATGCAGAAAGCTAACAGATAAAACAAAAACTCTAAGTGGTCCAATTAATGTTCAAAATGCATACATGGTTGGTGATAAAAATAAATTTATTTTGAAATAGCATTTAAGGACTTCATAGAATTTAACTGTAATAGATAGTGATGGAGAAAGACAATAGTCTACAGAAGCATGACTTCTGCAAGGGAACTAGTTCAAGCTAGCTGTCATGACAGCTAGAGAGATAAGTCGAAAGCAGATATTCAAGGTTATCAATTAAGAGGACCACACTGTCCGCACACATCCCCAAGCCTAACACAGTGGTGGGCATAGACCTGGTGAGCAGCGAACAGCAAAGCAAACTAAAGTTACAGTGTGCATTAAGGACCACTCACTAGGAAAACTGCAGTAGCCGTCATCATCCACAGAAGCATTTACAAGGATGCAAGCAGGTTAAGGCAGGCGATGGCAAGAGGTGAGGAGCCAGGAAAGCACAGCTTATATAGTTGGCATGGCTTGTCTTGCAGGAAGTGGGGGTGTTTGTTTAGGGTCACCTTAGAGAACTTTAGAGGCTATCTTGTGGGATTAGCTTGCCTTCTTTGTTGTTTCCATAACAAAAACCAAAGCACTCCATAGTCCTGTGACTCCACAAAGGGCACAGATGAAAGTCGGGAGAGAGATGAATGCTGTCATTGTAAGATGAGACTGGCAGGGGAGGAAAGTGCCCTCATCTTGGGACTTGGTTGGTGTCCCTCCTACGTCATCCTCACAGAGCTGTAAGAGCGGTGGAGATGCTGAAGAGATAATTGTTCCCCCACATGGTACCTGGGCCTCTATGGAGAGGAGAACCTGCCGCAGAACAGGAGGCTATTGGTTTTGTTGTGCCTGATGAAGAAAAGGAAGGGGTGGTCTGCACGGAACGTTGGAACAATGGAGGCGCAGCAAGCTTGAACTATCATTGAAGAAGCTGCTGCAGCCTCGGTGCCTTCTTCATTGACCTCCACAACACTCTTGTGAACACACTTGGACACACACAGGTCTCTCTCTGGAGACATTCCTGATAAGTCAGCCTGGCTGCCTTGGAAGACATCCACCATTCCCAGGTGCTGACACACAGACTCCATGTCATAATCCTCTTGCAGTTTAAATTTTGGAAGGAAAACCTCAACATCAGTGCTTTTCATAAAGCCTGGTTTGGTCCAGGCCGTTAACTTCTCAAAAGTGAGACCGTTTTCCACCTGATAAAACAGAATTAGAAACTGTCAGATTCACAGTTGAGGTCTTACCCAGAGGTTCATAATAACTTCTTGCTCACAGAACCCTCTATCATCCTGCTTGGGGCACTGCCTATTCACAGGGTCAGACAGTGTGAGTGTCCAACTAGCTAGCTAGCTTGCGTGTGACTTCCCTGGTGGGCATGGAGGCCAACAGCCCAGAGGTAGGAAGACTTGGCTATCCTCTCCTAAATCCCTTTCAAGATATCTTTTATTCTGACAGGCGTCTGTGTCCAGGTGTTTATGGTTTAGGTTGTATTTGCTTTTGTTCTCTTGATCTAGACCTAGTTGTGAAGGCAATAAACCACAGATGCTAAAACAAAAATAATAAAATAAAACTTGAAAAAAGACTTTTGGTGTGAGCCACACCAGAAGGAAGGTCTATCCAGGTTGAGATGCTATGTATTTTGTGAACTGCTATGGCTTTAATGAGATATTCCATCTAAAGGCTCACATAGTGAATTCTTATTCTGAAGCTGGTAACAACATTTTCGGAGGATTCTATAATGTATGCATGAGGGCTCTAGCTGACTGAAGGAAGTAGTTACTGGAAGTGTGCCCATGAAGGTCATCCTTGGTCCTCAGTCCATATCTCTTCTCCTTTCTCTGCTTCCTGTTCACTAAAAGGTCTGAAATCTCTGCCACATGCATCTGTTACCGTGGAAACCAAGGATGTGCCAGGTAACTTAAAATGGTCCTCTGAATCCGTGAGCCTGAATAAATGCTTCCTCTCCTAGGTTATTCATGTCAGGCATTTTTGTCAGTGATGAAAAACTAACTAACACCAGAGAAGCCATGCCACAGCTAGGGAGCTGGATGAGAAGAGCCAAGGGAGCTGTTCTGCTTACATAGACCCCTTGGGTCATGCACACTGCCCTGCCCTCCTTTCAGAGGATGGATGACAGACTGTGGGGTATCCTGCTGCAAGGAAGACCAAGATGCGCCATTATGGTGTGCCTGACTCTGTCCTGCCCAGATGGCACCTCTCCTCGTCCTCTATCTTCGGTGAACTGCAATACTTTTTCTGTCTGTTTTACATTCTCAGACATTAAAACACTGGCAAAGACTATGATACCATTCTATTTACAGAGAGGGACTATTTTCTGAGCACTGTGTTAAGTTTCTTGCTCGAGTTGCCCCCATTTCATCCTATCAGGTACCATCTTCTGTTCTAATGATGAAGTTATGTCATATGACAAGGTCACACTGCCCACAATGGGGGGGGGGTCCCCAAACACAGAAACTGCACACAGCTTGAGGCTCACTCTGGGAATACCACTTGCTCAAATGGCAGTTGGAAAGGTGAAAACAATGAGTTCTGTTCTAATTAGGAAGGATAATGGCGGTCCTGGATTCTTCTAGGAGACATTTAGAGTGGTGACTGCTAAGGACTCTCCTGCCTCACCTGGCTGAGGTCCACACCATCATCTGGGAGCAGGACCAACAAGCTCAGCTCCAGGCCCTCATAGGGCATTTCCAGCACCTGTGCCTGTACTTCATTCACGTGGGCGAGGTTAAATCTGTCTTCCTGATACATCATCTGCACTGGTCTTTCCTCCTTCTGTACACAAGAATCCAAAGCATAAAAGATGTTGTTGAGAGAGGTCAGAAGGTTTCCAGATGAGCTGAAGTTAATGTCAGGAGTGTTCTCAGCACTCACAATGAAAACACTATTCATAGTCCAGTGAACATTTAGTCAATGTCTGCCAGCCTCTTCCTGGTCTCATTTAAGAAATCGAGTGTAAGTAGATATGGGACTATTGTAGATAGGATTCTACAGCGGTGATAAAACACGTTGACCAAAACAATATGAGGAAGAAAGGGTTAATTTTGCTCTTACGGCTCTCAGGTTAACATTCATAACACTTCAAACGGCATTAAATTACATTTTATAGGGATTGGGAAAAGTATTCTAATATCTACTTTAATTCAAATTATACTCTAATTAAAATGGAGATCTTAATCACTCAATTTCAATATTAAAATGCTATAGTGTTAAATAATGATAAATTAACCAATAATTTAAAACGATCATTTTAATTAAAAATTACTCTATTACATAAATGTTTGTATATTCCTTTCTACTCTACCTCATGATCCATACATGCATTATTGTACCTTGACACATAAGTTTCTGTTTTCTTGAACTTACAGGAAAATTTAGTTTCTAGAGTAAGTTAGAAGCAATGATTTTATGAGGATTTATCAGAATACGTAAGAACCAGAAACAATGTAAAATAACACAAGTATTAAATATTCTTTATTCTTATCATTTTTCTATGGATCTAGCATTTCTTTCAGTTTCAAACATTTTCTGTGCTTTCCTATGCTATTTCTTTCTGGACTGAGGATCGAGCCCAGCAGCCCACAGGACATACAGTCTCTACCACTGAGTCCCAGAGCTACACATTCACGGTTACACATTACCATGCAGGTTCTTCATCACAGTGGCATAAATTTTTATCCTGCTCCTTACCTTGTTAATTTTAAACGGCACCTCCATTGTGTCTTCTTTGTTAAACGGCTGATGCCACTTTCCTTTGAAGTATAGAGCATTGACAAGAACCAGCCTGGTCATTGAATTAACTGAGCCTCCTGACAGCAACTCTGGAATTTTCCCTTTTGAGAAAGCAGAGACTTCATTCAGGTTCATTTTATATACGTGTGAGAAATAGGCTGATGTGACATCTGGGCAGATTCGAGCATCATGCTTTCAAATTTGCTGAATGTGGATGAGCATGAAAAAAAAATAAGCTGAAACAACATATCAACCACCCATGTTTGACTTGACGTCATGGCCACGGGAGTCACATGATCCAGGTGAGGGTGCTGAAGGACTTCCAAGTCCCTCAAGGAAAGCAGGGTTGGGAAAAGCAGAAAAAGGCACTTCAGGGTGGAGAACAAAGAAGCAGGAGATGTGGAAGGGATCGCATGGGACCAGGGCTCCCCTTGGGTGCCAATGTCAGCTGACAACTTGATTGGGTCTGGAATCAACTAAGAGACATGTCTCTCGGCAGGTCGACAAGGACATTTTCCAGAAAGAGTAAGTCATGGAGAGGACATTGCCTTCCTGCCCTGCCCCGACTAAAGGACTCAGGGAGAAGCAGCACTGCTTTTGCCTGCCTGCCTTCAGCCCTTGCTGGTGAGTGCGTCTGCACTGTTCACACCTCTGCACCTGCCATTTTCAGCTGACACTGGAGCCCAGTAGCTTTGGTCTTCATGTGGACCAAGACTAGTGCCTCTCTGGAATCCTCTAGGCTTTCCATTCCAGGCTGGGACTGCTGAGGTCTCCAACCCCATAGACTGAGCAGCTACCAGATTCTCGGCCTCTACATGCAGATGGCCATTGTTAGACTATACAGTCTGTATTGTATATGCCAATCTACTGAATCCCCTTAGTAATACGTATTCATTCTATTCCCCTAGAATACTCTGACTAATGTTAGATACAGTATCTCATCTAACGCTCCATGGTCATGCCCAGTTCTAGCATAGCACAACATGTCAGAGACTCAAGGACAAAAGGTAGTTTGTGGAGAAGGAATTGTTATCATATACTTTGGAGTGCTGTCCATCCTTGGGGAGATGATGCAGGTCAGAGGACAGATTCCCTTCTTCTGTCTTAAGGAGCATCCTTTCAGTAGAGAAGAAAATCCTCGCTAACTTACAATGTCAAGAGTGCACAAGAGGTAAAGACTACAACAAAAATTGGCAAATAATTGCTGAGTATTTATTTTAAAAAAATCTAGCTGGGCGGTGGTGGCACACGCCTTTAATCCCAGCACTCGGGAGGCAGAGGCAGGCGGATCTCTGTGAGTTTGAGGCCAGCCTGGTCTAGTAGAGCTAGTTCCAGGACAGGAACCAGAAAGCTCCGGAGAAACCCTATCTTGAAAATCAAAGAAAGAAAAATCTCATTTTATACTTTCTGTTAGTAGAAATAGGAATGTATCCAGTGGTACATAGGCATCTGAAGGGTTCAACTATCAGATAGTGATTTCAAAGACTAATGCTGGAACACATCATCTCTGAAATAAAAACAAATAGGGTTCAACCTCAAATGGGAGGTTCTTGTAGGCCAATCAATGGAACTGAGCGGCCCTGAGAGGAAATCAAGTTTAGTTTCACCAAATGTAAGTGAGGGATCTGAGGCAGGAAGAATGGAATCAGAAACAGGAATCCTCTTTAGACATAATGATAGTGGGGGCCAGGGCAACACAGACTGTAGGAAGAAGGAGCCCATGGAAGAATTATGAGGAAGGCCTCCACATGAATCTCCACAGTGGAGTCATCTGACCTGCCAACACTGCAGACCACCCCTGTCTTCTAATCTAAGCTGTTAGACTGGAAATCAGGCCCATGAGTTCTCGTGACATTTGTATCATTCCCCTGTCTTGAAGAAATATTCAAATAACTCTATTGTTCAAATCTAAGTTTCCGAATAAAACCTCCATGATTTATACCACATATCATGATGTTAGTCTGCATCTCTTTGACTCCCTGAAATAACATGCGATTAGTCCATGAGGGAGAAGGGAAGTTAAGAGAAAGAACAGGGAAGGAAGAAGAGGAAGAGATGGATGGAAAGGAGAAAATTGTGGGGTGTGAAATAACTTGAAATTCTGACCTTCAGTCTGTTTGGAGACCCACGTGTTTATGTGCTTCCTGGACTCCTCTGGATCTTTGGCAAAGGACAGCTGCTCCAGCTCCGAGTGGTAGAACTGAAAACAGGACTCCTTGTAGGTCTTTGGAGAGAAAATGTTCAGAAAATTAACATTGGAAAACAAAGTGTCTGCAAGCTTCCAAACCCTCTGATAGTATGTCAAAAACAAAACAAAACAAGAAAAAACTAAAGTAAGTGTAGATGTCACTTTAAGCAGCAAATATCTATTTTTTTTGTCTTTGTACATGGGAATAACCAGATATGATTGAATAAAAATAACAAGTAGTCAAATTTGAAATACTTTAAAGTATCATTATAGAATTGTGATCTTTGGGGGAAGTTGAAGGAGTTGAGTAGTTGAGTTTCACTATTTGGCCAAGGCTGGCCTAAAACTTGTGATCCTCCTGTCTCAGGTATTTAGATGTGGGTCATCACACTGACTAGAACTTGATCCTTAACTTTCTCAAGTTCTCTAGGATCCTTCTCCTGGGATCTACATCAACAAGTATTTTAAATACAATTGATATCATTCTACTGACAGAACTTACTGGGAGGATTTTACAGGTATTCTCTGCAAAGAGCCTATTGGCCATTCTAAGCAAGTACTTTCTGCTGGGCTTGTTCAGATTACTGAGAAGCTCCTGGAAGCCTTGATGAATGTCTTTCTCTGGGTTTAAACCAAGTGCCTGCGAAGGAAAAGAATGAAACATTATGAGCGCAGTGATGAAACATTTTGGTAGCAAAGAGGAGTTTGCAGGCTAAAGGGATAGCTCAGGGGGCGAAGTACATGAGGCTCTGAGCTGGATCTCAGTATGAACATAAAAAGATGGGTTCCGTAGTGTATGGCTGTAATCCCAGCACTGGGATAAGAAGACACCTGCATTTACTCCTGTCCTCTGCCTAAAGAAGCACACATGGGCATGTAAACACACATACACACATGTGTGTACACATACTTGCACACATATACCTGCTATATGCATGCACAATCTCTCTGTTTGTTAAAAGACTAGAGAGAATAATTATGAAGAAGACCCCTCTACATGATCGTATTCACGTCCTCATGCCCTCACTACATTTGGAAATGATAAAACTGAGCAGTTATACCTGAAAGGCTCTTCATGGGAAAGAAAATTCTGGTAAACCTCAGAACAACAGTGACTGCTTCCCGCTGTGACAGTGAAGCAGAGGGCTTTTTCTCAGGCCAATGCCTCCTGCCTGCCCTGGAACCCCTGAGGTCAGAGACCCATCCTTCATCACCTGCAATGCTTATAGGATGCTTCATAAAGCGACCAACGCAGTGCCTGGTCAGGATGAGGACCAGCCACACACATTTGCCCATTCAGTATCCCAGCTGGTGCAAGGCAGGTTGGACACAGTTAAGAGAGGAATTAACCTTTCTTGGCCAATGAATAATTACAAAGTCTGCTGCTCTAAAAATAGATCTTAGCAACCTATGTTTCAAATAATCTCCTCCTTTTTTTTTTCCCATCGCTGTACTTGGGGCTGCCCCCACTTTTTAAAAAAACTCTTTTTTATTTGAAATTAAGTTGCCATGCTAGTCTTGAACTTGCATCCTCCTGTTTCAGTCTCCTTAGTAGTTAGAATTAAAGGCCACCAGGTCTAGCATGAAATTATTTACACCCCATTTTCTAAGTGAAGTCTGGACAAAATTTTGAGAGTTTCTTTAAGTTATTACTGAGGGAAACTCATTGTCCCATCCTCTGTAGCCCCTACCCCATGAAACAGGGTGTGCATAGTCTGACCCTCCCTTCTCAGCAACTCTTAGGCAAGTGAAACATGTCAGGTGACAGGGAACTTACCTGAGACATCTGGACTGCGGTGTCTCCCTTCGCCCCCAAGAGGACCATAGCTAGAGCAGAGGAGATGCTCACAGGCGAGTAACATACATTTTTCGAAGGGTTGTTCTGACAAAGGATCTTTAAAACGTGGATGGCAAAGGTGCCGTTTGCTTCAGACAGAGTGTTCATGATGCAGAGTCTGGAGGCAAATGAGAAATGGTACTCAGTACAGCGCTGGAGGTTCCCTGATCTGACTCAGGGAAATCTGGAACTCTACTCTTGGTTCTCATTTCAAAATTCCTAAGTACTTAAAATTGGATTTTACAAATTCTTTCTCAGTCACAGTCCTTCCAATTTTCAGGTTATTATCTAGGTGTGGTCACGGCAGCAGACCAAACTAGCGTCTGTCCCATTTGTGTAGGTAGAAGGTCAGATCATCGGCACACACAGGACACAGATGAGAGAGGAGGACTCTAGTCTCCTTCCATACAGTCCAGGTCCTCTCTCTGAAGATGGTGGGGTTGAGGCTAAAGAGGAGGAGGAGGAGTAGTGGAAGGGAAGAAGAAGACAGCCATGAGCATCCAGGTCCTCTGGACTGACTTCAGCAAAGCTGTGTTCTGTGTCTGCCTGCGAAGACTCTGAGATGTCTGGGTGTGCACTAGACAGTGCCTCTGCATTTACAGTTTCTCCAGGAAAGACACGGGGAAGCTGAACGACACACTAAGACAGGCTGGTGTCATTAGCTCTGCTGTGCAGCAGGAGGCGTCCGCCTGCAGTGACTGCTCGGGTGGCCTTGGATCAGGGGGTGGCTCCTAGGCTGTTTCTCTGTAAAGCTTGCCTCTCTCCCAGGTGAATAGACAGTTTGGCTCAGACTATCTGACTGCCCCAGGCACAATAACCCCAATCTGAGTCCCTGTACATCCAATGGCTGTGCTCTCGCTGTCATATGACCTTAGTGAGTTCCAGCATTTTTTTTTCCTACTGTGTTTAAATGCAGATCAAATAGCACAGGGAGTCTCAGAGCAACACAACCCATACTTCTTCCTCCTCCCCAGACAGAAGGACACAGCATCCTGGGACTGCCTAGATCCTGTGACTCCTCCCCTTAACTCCCTTCAGGAAAGGTGGGGCTGCTTCATTTCAATGACTTCCCTTCTGGTGGGCCCTCTCATCTAAATCTGCTTGTGACCACTATACTCCTGCCCATCCTGATGTCTTTTTAAAGTTGTTTCTAGTCTTGAAGAGCTGTTTGTTCCATCTAGAAGGTCATCTACGCGGCAACTGTCACTGAGTTCAAACTACTCACCTCTTCCCTCCCTCACTGGGACAGGGCAAGCTCAGGGCCTCTGCGCTGCTAAGCTAGGGCAGCTGCTCCAGCCCAGTCCTTTCGCCACCCCTCCCAAGTGCACTCTGTCTCTTACTGACTGTGGTCTCCACCACACCCAGAGCTCTCTGAAGGCAAGAGAGATGTTTGGCACCCTGATCTTAAGCACCTGGAAGCATGCTCTGGCTAAAGGGGGTGTTATCAACACGGAGTGGAGTATTTTATAAATGGAAATGAGGAGTGCCCAACTTCCTCTAGAGACTGCTCATTTTAAAGGACCCAGAAATAGAACAGACACATGTTTTAGATCCGCCAGGAGAGAGCAGCGGCAGTCAAATGTCTAGGTAGTAGAACCAGAAAGAAAGCAGGAAAGAGGCCAGTAGAGAAGGATGCTGCTGACCCCTGAAGCCGTGGTTGAGGAGAGGCCAAGGCAGCTCTAGGACACCAGCCCTAGGACCAGCCTTGCTGCCATTGGCCAGCTCGGGTTTTTTAAAGATCCCTTTTAAATGTCCAATACTGTAGGAGCGAGCCAGGATAAGCTAAATATGAACAGATCACCCAAAGGAAGTTCTTTACTTTCCAACCGTTATCACCCACCAGTGTAGGACTCAGCGATCAATAAATTTAATAGAGGCCAGAGTCTCAGTAGTTTACCCTGAAGGTTTCAGGAAGGACCATAAACAAGATTACCTGAGCACCACTGAAGAACAGACCATCCAAAGGAAATGCCTACCGTTCCAACCGCTGTAGATAGGATCACCTGCCAGCACACACTCACCAGGAGACCCTTACACAAATGTCAGCCAATCAGGGGTCCTGAACCTCAGAAACCCCTCATCCCCACCTTTACTACTATAAAAACCCAACTCTAAATGAGATTGGGGGTCTCCGTTTATTCCAATACGTTGGACATGCGGAGAGACCGAGTTTGCAAACTTGCCTAAAATAAAGGCTCTTTGCCTTTATTTTATACATACGGGGACTCGGTCTCCTTGTTGGCTTTTGGGGGGACTTCGCGGATTTGGGCATAACAAATACCACCTGCTTATTTTCCTAACTCTGCAATTCTGGGCTTCCCTCCTGAGCTCAATCTGGACCTTGTAAACCTCGCTCACCTCTGTGGTTCCCACGGTCCCAGCCTGAGACAGGAGCCTTCACTTAGCACCTTCGCGGCTTCTCAATGCAGCTTTTGCAGCCTGAACGTCCTGCTGGTTTAGCTGAGCAGCCTGGCCGATGAAAATGAAAGTATTTGCAGGAGAGGAGGAGAAGGGAGAGGGGAGGGGGAGGGACGGAATAGGGAGGGGAATTGGGGGAGGAGGAAGGGGAGGAGGTTTACCAAGATTTTAACTGCTCCCTGGGGCAGGGGGCACGCGCGGGGGGGGGGGGGGGGGGGGGGGGGGGGGGGGGGGGGGGGGGGGGGGCGGACGCGGAGGGAGCGGGGAGCGGGGTGCCTATTATCGAGATTCATTCCCCAGCCCCACCCTCCTGTTCAGGAGGAAAAACAGCAGTCCTTTTTCTACCTCTATTTCCCAGTCACGAGCATTTCTTGTGAATGAAATGTGTGGTTCTGTGAGGTCCTCTTATGAGCCTGATTTTTCCAAGGCTTAGCGTAAGGGTTCAAGGAAGCAAGGACTGGGGCACGGGCCACATTCATGCTACACAAGGCCTCCTGCAGGGACTGAGTTCTTTTCAGAGACCTCAACTCAGGTGAAGCTACAATTTTTGACTCTGCCGCAAAAAAAGGGACTTCAGGACGAGCTAGTATGAAGTAGAGCTAGATTTATTAAGAAGCAAAACCCTGTATATTTAAACATAAGTAACACGCAAAAGGAGGCCTAGTAAGACGAGACACACCTAAGCATGCAAGTGTCTCAAGGGAGAGCACAGCTTCGGTGCCTTAGCAGCAGCTACACACGTGGCTCTCAAAAGTTACTTTTTTTTTTTTTTTTTTTTTTTTTGATTTTCGAGACAGGGTTTCTCCGTAGCTTTTTTGGTTCCTGTCCTGGAACTAAAAACTAACTTTTGTAGACCAGGCTGGCCTCAAACTCACAGAGATCCGCCTGCCTCTGCCTCCCGAGTGCTGGGATTAAAGGCGTGCGCCACCACTCCCTGGCACAAAAGTTACCTCTTACAAAGCCGCTAGGATCCCCCCCCCACACTTTTCCATTTTTATTTAATAGAGGTTCGATTTTTTATTTGTTTATTTATTTAAGAAGAAGATATTAGTACTACAATGAATGAAGCTGAGACTAAGACGCATAAACAGAACTTCACCATACGAAGATGCCTTGCTGGGAAACAGGACCACTACAGACTTGACACACACACACACACACACACACACATGATCAGCTCACACCATCTACAGGAGCACACATCTAGTTCTCCCCAAGATTCAAGGTTTTATTTGCTGAGCCCGAGAGCTCACCCAATTCCCCACTCCCTGTGGCACACTCCGCCTAGAAAGCCTTCCTCTCCATGTGCTCTCTTTCCCGGCTTATGGATGCCCAGCTTTCCACCAATCTCTTCCTCTCAGAAGGTTCCTGGTGCCATTGGTTTCTCCAGGGCGCTCATTTTCTGTTGCTTGGCTCCATGTGTCCACAGAGGCTGCTCGCACCTCTTGTCTTCTAACCCCTGACCCAGCAGGAAGTGACAACAGCTGAAGGGATGTCAGCTTGAGGCTTTCTTTCTCATCTTGCTTGAGGGAAAGGGTTAGGCCATTTACGTGCAGGGCAGCATCTGCTTCCTCAGTCACCCTGTGTTCTCCAACCTAAGGGGCTTTCAACCGTCCTTGTCCCCAGGGTTTCTCTAGTTCCTCTGCTCTGACACAGCTTCTGCCCATATCCTGTCTTGTGTTCCTGGGGACACTTTTCACCCTGGTCCTACATCACTGACGCAGCTGGCTCATAGTTACTGTCCCTCTTTGTCCTTGTGTCCCCTGACACAGTGTCTTCTTCCTGCTCTGCTTCTTCTTCCTCACCCCTACTCCCTCCAGAGTCTTCCCTGCCATCTTTCCCTACATCTTCTAACAAGAAGCCATGTTGTTTTCCCTTCCTGGCTGGAACGCTCTGGCCTTTTTTATTTTCTTTCATTTTCCATGTGTAGTCTGTCAGAAGATGGGCTTGCCCATAATACAATGCTCACTTATGAGCGCAGACCCCATAGACCTTTGCCATCTACTTGGTCTTTCTTAAGCAAATCATTGGCATCATTTTCACTGTACTTTCTGCTTGGTGGCACATGGTTCTCATTCTTCTCCCACCTGGAGAATCCTTTGAAGGCAAAATCTGCCATATTGTTTCTGTTTGGGGCTTGTAACCTGCAAGACTATAGCAATTTCCCTCTACCCTCACACTAAAGATCTACCTAGTTATTGTTTTCATACCTGAGCGTGACTTTAGGGATGCCTTATAAGAGAACCGTATTATGGGACGATAAAAGCATGGATTACAAAGCTGTTAGACAAATAAGGTTTCTTGAAAGATTCCTAGGATACTGCAGGTTTATTCCTAGAAGAGGAAGAAGAACATGCATGCTTAGATTAAAAACATGATGGCTGTTTTAATATTCTCATTTGAACTATCTCTGTATAAAAGGAGGACTGTGTGTATCCTGCCAACTTTCACAGGAAGTGTTATCTGGGCTGATAAGATCTTCAGTCAGACTTGGGGTGAAGGGCTTCTTTTCTTCCCTGAACCTCCCTAACTTTCTTGGGTTTTCTGTGCTATGTCAATACATCATTTGTCAGCCATCATTTCTTTTCCTCGCTAAAGATATTATTAACGATATTGTCTATAATAAATTTTATTCCATTGACCAGCATTAGATTGTTTCTACCTCTTATCTACTCTTAAGTTTACAATGAACATTTATGGATAGACCTATGCTTTCTTGGAATTAGCCCGGATATAGCCCAAGGAATGGAATTTCTGGGTCATATGGCAATTCGACATTTAACATTTTGAAGAACTACCTAATGAGTTTAAAAGCTTCTACGCAATTTCACGCTCCCACCACCAAGGTATGAGTTTTAGTTTCTCACTGTGTGGTTTGTCACTTCTTATTTTAGCCAATGGGTGCGAAGTGGTTCTCATGGTTTTGAGTTTTATTTCCCTGATATCAGTCATAAGTTCATGTGCTTCTTCTACAAGAATGTCTATGTAAATTCCTTTTCCTGTTTTTATTTAGATGGTTACCATAATCATCATCATTGCCATTAAAGAGCACGACACCAAATGTGTGATTCTGTCTCTGTTCTGGTTAATGTCTTCATCTCTGTGGTAAATTCTAAATCCTCCCTATGGCACAGGTGACTCTGCCATCTCTGTGACAAGTGACTAATGGAAACATTTTCCTATCCCTAGTGAGAACCTTCGTCTGCCCTGCCTAGAACCTGTATGGCCTCTGTTAAGAAAACTTCCTCCCATGCCATCATACCTCTCACTTGAGCTCCTTGAACGAGACTTAATTATCGGAGACGTGATTGGGCCACTGAAAAATCTCTCTCAGGATTGACTGGTTCCAAAGGCTGAAAATGCTCTCACTCTGGAGCTGAATTGTCCTCTGGAAGGCTCTTGGATTTTTGCTTCCACCAGCATGATGTTCCTGCATAAACGCAAGTTCTTTGGGGAACGACGTTTAAATAGTTGTTAGCCGAAGTGAAATACAAATGTCTCTTTTAGAATAATCTAAACTTTATTTATGAACTTCGGCAGGCGGGCCAGTTATAATTTTCCTCTTGGTTCTAACACCCCAACCTTGGAAAAAAAAATAGGTCTCTGTCTGAAACAAAAGTCATAAAAAGAATAAAAGTAGAGACCAAGACTAGAACACACCCAGTTAGTGTCAGGAAACCTCTTGACTTTAGTCACTTTGGGCAAGAGCTTGCCTGAACAACACCTTCCTGTTGGTTTGAGGCAGGTATCACCCTGAAGCCTAGACTGACCTCAAACTTATGCGTCGCCTGCTTCAGTTTCCCAAGGGTTGGAGTTCTAGTGTGGTCAGAGACCAAACTCTGTTAGTTCTCTCACTGGCTCCTACATTTTTATCCTATAATTATTTTAAAATAGCTTTAAAGAAAAATCTACTGTTTTCTTTTATCACCGTCTTAGAAATTTTTTTTAAATTACAAATTGAAAACACAAAGGATCATTATTTATAACTGGGACTGAATTCTCCTAAAGCACACACACACGATGATGAGAACCTAGGTTATCGCACAAACTCAGCAAAACTGCCAAACCATTGAAAAGGCCAAAGTCCTGAAAATGTCACCCAGCCTTGGGGAAGAATGGCCAATGTGAAGAGCATGGAGCACAGAGAGAGCCACAGGGCGCTGGAGCGTATAGAAAGCTTTTGCTTTTATTTTCCTAGAACACATCACACCATGCACTGTAACCAATCCCATTTCCAGTTACTAGGAAACATTTCCTTAAAAGGACTGGTGCTAAAGAGAAGATGGGATCACAGCCATTTCCATGTTTTCAGACTGTCTCCTGCTTTGCTCAAAACAACCAACAAACTGTAAATTATTAAATCAAAATAAAGAACATTGGACAATGAAAGGAAGCACCATTAACAATTTTAATATTTAACTTTTATTTATAATTTTTAAGCCTTATGAACCTTCCCAAAGGAAGGTATTTTAATTCAGAGAAAACAGGTCCACAGTAAACAAGAGGAGGTAGACAGACGACTCTAGTGGCGACCCCAGACACCCTGAGAGCAAAATCAAGAGATCTTTGCTGTGCCTAGTAGCATATAGAGCAGCAGTCTAGAAAGCTTGCAAGGATGCATACAAATGTGCCTACAGTCAGGGTGTACAGATAAAGGCAGAGCCCTTCAAGGCTGCTACAAATGTCCTTACTCTGAAACTTCAGCCATATGAGCCTCTATTATTCTCCAAGGCTCTGATGCTGGTACAGCTACTAACAAACCACACAATGGACACACTCATTAGACCATTCAAACTACAAAAAGTTGATTGTACAAGGTTGAAACAAAGGAAGTTGTTGGGGTCCTACATTCCAGGGCAGGGGCGTATGGATTAGAAATACTAGGCAGAACAAACAGATACAAAAGAAAAGGACAGAAACACAGAATAGAGTCAGGAGGGCAACCCAGTGAATACTTAATTCACCTGTGTTTATTTTCCATTTGTTTTATATACCCCAATCACAAAGGGGGGGGCAAGACTTACTATGATACAAACAATGGACAAGCAAAATAATTACCTCTTCAATACTTGAAACATTGACTGACTGTATCTTTTTTTTTTTTTTTT